ACTTGTGATGAGTCTGCGTTCCGAATGAGTGGTAGAATCAAAATATGACTATTCAAAATTGCTTGTAATGAGTTTATTTGAATAAAGATAATTTTTATATCTATTTATATTTCAGCAACTGATATTGTAAGAGTGTCCTGTACGAGAGGTCGTCAGTTTTGGAATACATATATATTTGGAAAAATCGATTTGGTTTTATTATGTTTGTTTACCTCGTTTTTATTTGCCTGTTTTAATATTTCTATTTTAATATTCTATTTCTATTTCTTATATATAAAATAAACTTTCAATCAGGTGCGTTCTCATCGTTCTCACGTACTGAACACATATGTTCCAAATAAACTTAATTTCAACATATAATCGTAATTCACCAATATACATATCGACTCAAGTATCCAACCACATACTTGTTGATTCTGGTCACGTTGACCAGAGATATCCTCGCGTGGTCATCGCAAAAAATATGATTTATTGTGCACTTCCTCTATTCCCGAGGATCATCCACATTCAAGCGTATCACATGTTATAAATTACAACAAGAATTCTTTTTGAAACAAGAATTCATACTCGTGAACGAGTGCTGCTTGTAGGGACTGGTCTGCTCTTATCACTACGACTGATTTAATCTTATTGCATATTTATATTTGACCCAAAAAATTAGTGCTGGTAGTTTGTATTCACACGTTTCGACTTGAAAAATGTGAACTTATAAGGATTATTTAAAAGAGCAACACACAAGTTTCTTTCTCGTTCTTCTTGTGATGAGACAGCTTTCAGAACGAGTGGTAGATAAAAAACAAATTGTTATGACTATTTAAATGTGCTTAAATTAAGTTTATTTGAATAAATGACTTTCTATTTCTATTTCTATTTGTGGTGGGCCGGGTTATTGGGCTCCCTAAAATATGGTCGAGCGCAGTGAGGGCTGGCTCATCCGTCATACTCGTGAACGAGAGCTGCTTATACGGATTGGTCTGCTCTAATCACAATGACTGATTTCCTCTTATTAATTGTATAACCAGTTGGTTGTATACTCAATATTTTTTCTATCTGAGTATTTAATTGAATTAGTGCTAATTGGTAGTTTGTATTCACACACTTAAACTTAAAAATGTAAAGCAAGAATAAAAGTATTTGAAAGTGCAACACGCAGGTTTCTTGCTCATTCTTCTTGTGATGAGACAGCTTTCCGAATGAGCGGTAGATTAAAAAAAATATGATGACTATTCAAAAGTGCATGATTATTTCAAAATCAATGTAAATTTAGTTTAATAAATGATTTTCTATTCTATTCTATTCTTTATAACATTAGCTATCTATGGTTAATATCTATTTAAGAGATTACCAAGGTAGACAGATAGTCAGACAGACAAAAATTGTTAAGATTTTTTTTATGTAAGTACTGTATATATTTTCACATACATTTAGTGAAAAACTGTTAATTTAAAATAATAAATAGACACTTCAATTTTACTTATTTATATTAACATATTTTTTTTATTATTACTAAATTTGAACGCGTAGCAATCTCACCTGATTTTAAGTGATGATGCGGTCTAAGTTAAGCTAAGCTCAAATAGTGACACTCTAGAACTGAAAGACACAATGCTGGGAGAGAGGAAATATGATACAAATCGATTGGTACGAGCAGCAGGGATATTAACACTGTATAGATAGAACTGTACATATATTATTTTACCTAAATTTCGTTTGGCTAAAGTTAGTAATTCGTTTTATTGCAATTGCGTAAGGTTTTACAATAAAATACTAGAGTCTGTTATAAATCTGCCAGAAAAAAGATTTAAATGTCAAATAAAACACTTCCTTTGCAAAAAAGCTTACTATAAAATTGAAGAATTCGTTAACGATAATGTTTTTGTAGAAAAATTTTAAATACATAGCACTGACAATATTATCTGATTACACTAATAATGAGTGCGTAGCGATTTCTATGTTGATTATCGCATGCCTCTTACTTGTTACACTGTAATTATTTATATAAAAAAAACATCATATTAAAAAGAGCAACACACAAGTTTCTTGCTCATTCTTCTTGTGATGAATCTGCATTCCGAATGAGTGGTAGAATCAAAATATGACTATTCAAAAGTGCTTGTAATGAGTTTATTTGAATAAAGATTATTTCTATTTCTATTTCTATTAATTCAAGCTTATGAAACCGTACGAAATTTTAGTGTCCCACAAAAGTTTTTCAAAGGAATTGGCTTTACATCTGGACTGATTTGGAATTTAACCAAATTATTATTTTACTTAAATCTTAGCTTTGTTCAATGCCCATAGACTAACAGATATGAATATATCTGTGGACTCCACAGATCGTACTTGGCAAGCGGAATGCCAAAAGCATCTTTTGTATTCCTTTTGGATGTAAGATTAGTATGAATTTTAATCTTCTCCAACAACAAACTTGGCCAATTTGCATTCTAAAGGTACTGTTTGCTGCTATAGAATATGTTTAGTTAATATTGTAGTTAAATCTTTCGTAGTCGAGCTGTAAGTGCCAAGTATCAAGATGAACTTAGACTGGATCTGTTTTAAATATGTTTTTATAAAAATACTAGCTCGCAACTTCGTCCGCGTGGAATTTTACTTTATTTTTCTAAAATAAAAGATTTTTTCTATAATAAAAGTAGCCTATGTTACTCCTTATACATCAGCTACCTGCCAAAAAATGTCGCGTTAAAATCGGTCCAGCCATTTCAGAGAATAGCCGGAACAAACAGACCAACAGACATGCAGACAAAAATTATAAAAATTGTTATTTTGGTATATGTACCGCATATATATTCATATGTATATAGTAAAACGTTTATTTCAATATTACAAACAGACACTACAATTTTATTTATGTGTATAGATTACCACTATAGTACACAGTTAGAACTGTTACATGGTAGTTATATTTGATGAAATGCTATTTCTTAGATAGATGCTTAAACATACGATACTTACAATACTATGATAAAACAAACTTAATATAAAATGAATATCATCATTACATAGTATAAAATAAAGTCGCTGTCGCTGTCCGTCCCTATGTATGCTTAAATCTTTAAAACTACGCAACGGATTTTGAAGCGGTTTTTTTTAATAGATAGAGTGATTCAAGAGGTTTATATGTATAATACATGTACACCCGGGCGAAGCCTGGCCGAGTGGCTAGTAACATAATAAATCAAGGTTTCTTAAGGGTCGACAATGCCATCAGATGATCACCATCAGATGAGCCGTATGCTTGTTTGCTACCATCGTAGTACAAAAATAAATAAATAAAGAAAACAGATCAATAAGAACAGACTATAAATAACAAATATATAATTATGCGTTACAGTTATTTTTATAATTATAATTAATTAAAAATATGAACTTCAAGTAATACTTTTATTGAGGAATTACCACAGAGTAGACTAGTAACAAAAAGAAGTATCTGTATTAAAAACATATATATATGTACATTGACAGGAACTGGAAGAAAGGTTCGATTTTACAATAGTTCTGTTCCAGTTGATAATATATATTAATATATAATATATTACTATTATATTTTTTTTTTCTCACCTTTTGCTGGTTTTATTACACACCACACACACACACTTACGGGCCGAAACCAAGTAAGCACAGAGCGTGTGTGTGTGCGCGCGTGTGTGTATGTGTGAGTGGGTGCGTACTTATTATTATTATTTCTAAACTTAAAAAAAATCTCATCTCCCCTCTAAAGGAGAGGGGATGGCAACTTACCCCCGGCAGAAGCACAGTCGGCCGGGGTTCAGGGCCCCAGGGAGAGAAACCGGCGTACAATGCGGGCAGAATCTAACAGCACCGCTTTCTGCATCTTTCCCGGGAGTGAGCCGCCCCGCAATCCCAACCGTCTGAGATGTTGCTCCAGATTGGTTGGGATAAGACCGTTCACCGACATAACGATTGGAATGATTTCGGTGGACATCACCCCCCACATTTCGGTCACCTCGTGAGCCAGGTCGAGATATTTTCTCAGTTTCGGCTTTCACGAGGTTCTCGTCATGCGGTATGGTGATGTCCACCAAAAACACCCTCGAAAGTGCCCGATCCATCACCACGATATCAGATTTGTTCGCAAGAATGGCCCTGTCCGTGATAATGGATCGGTCCCAGTAGAGCTTGACGCTGTCGCTTTCGAGGACCGGCTGGGGCTCGTACTTATAGTACAGCAACCTCTCATTCGCGAGGCCGTACTTCAGAGCAAATTCTTGATGGAGTATTTTGGCTACCTGGTTGTGTCTGTGCAAGTACTCAGTGTTGGCAAGAGCTGAACAACCCGAATGCACATGTCTGAGTGACTCACCGGGATGGCGACATGCCCGACAGATGTCCTCAGTGCCATCCTTCAGAATGTGCTTTCGGTAATTGTTCGTCTTAACCACCTGACCCTGTATTGCACAGACAAAACCCTATTATTATTATTATTATTACCAAGCGGTATTAACATCGGTGTCCATAAGAGCACCCAATAATTACGTACAAGCAAGAAGACGAAACTTGTTTGATGTTGCATGGAGAAGAACGGAACTGGCCAAACAGGCTCCTATTTCTTTGGCATTGAGTCTACTCAACGGTGTAGTTAGTCGTTTTCGAGATCTAGACATATATACTTGTAATTTGCTGGAGTTTCGTAGGATGGCAGTAGATTATTTAAGTAGTATGGAAAATTAAGATTATTATTTTTTTTTTTTTTCTTGTGTAATTAGTGTATGTATTAGTAACTAGTGTTTTATAAGTGTGTGTATATGTATGCAATCTTCCTAAGTGGGCATATTGGGAAACTGTAAGGCTCACTTAGTGTGACGAAAAAAAAAAAATTATTTAAGCTTTTTAATTTTAGGTTCTTAGTAGTACAATTAAGTTTATATTTTAATTAAATAATACAGCATTTATGAATATGTACATTTGTTTGTTACAGATACAGACTCATCGTAAAATGTAAACCACATTGAAACCGAGGATGTATATCCGACTGCCAACAGTGAGGTGGAAGCAATGTGAGAGTGGACAGTGAGAGAACAGTTTCTGTACTCGACCACCGTCATGACGACGAAGATGCTGCTGTCTCTGGTGCTGCACTGCTTCTACGTGGCCACCACCGCTTCTATACCTAGTGGAGGTAAGAACGTTTATTACAATAACTAGCTGTTCCCGCGACTTCGTCCGCGTGGAATTTAAATTTATGTTTCTAAAATAAAAAAATCGTACATATACCAAAGTAACATTTTTTACAAATTTTGTCTGCCTGGCTGTTTGTTCCGGCAAAACTCTAAAATGGCCGGACCGATTTTGACGGGACTTTTTTTGGCAGGTAGCTGATGTAATAAGGAGTAACTTAGGCTACTTATTTTTTAAGAAAAAAAATGAAATATTTTAGAAAATTAAAGTTAAATTCCACGCGGACGAAGTCGCGGGAACAGCCAGTACAAAATAAGAAGAAATGAGAAAATCAAGTAAAAGATACAATTACATAAATCACAGTCACGAGATTTTTCAATCGACTCGCAACAAAAAAAAAACGCAATTTGGCAAGAAAATAAACAGACAACAAAAACGTACTGCGAAAGAAATTCTGTCCAGGTGTTTTTATATACTCTGAAAACAGAATAACTTATCTTTAGGTAAGACAGACTCTATATTTTATTAATGGCGTGTATTTTTCCTTTCGTAAACGACCTCGAGAAATTCAATTCACGGAATGTACGTGTATATAATACGAATATAAATTATTTAATCTATATATTTAGTAATACAGATAATTCCATTTCTACTGATTTATAAAGAGGAGATGGACGACTAAGAGACATGGTCGCTAACTATGGGCCTCATGAACAAGCTGAGAGTCACTCTATAAAGAGGAATCAGACATGGATGACTAAGAGACATGGTCACTAACTATGGGCCTCATGAACAAGCTCAGAGTCACTCTATAAAGAGGAATCAGACGTGGACGAATAAGAGACATGGTCACTAACTATGGGCCTCATGAACAAGCTCAGAGTCACTCTATAAAGAGAAATCAGACATGGACGACTAAGAGACATGGTCGCTAACTATGGGCCTCATGAACAAGCTCAAAGTCACTCTATAAAGAGGAATCAGACGTGGATGACTAAGAGATGTGGTCGCTAACTATGGGCCTCATGAACAAGCTCAGAGTCACTCTATAAAGAGGAATCAGACGTGGATGACTAAGAGACATGGTCGCTAACTATGGGCCTCATGAACAAGCTCAGAGTCACTCTATAAAGAGGAATCAGACGTGGACGAATAAGAGACATGGTCACTAACTATGGGCCTCATGAACAAGCTCAGAGTCACTCTATAAAGAGAAATCAGACATGGACGACTAAGAGACATGGTCGCTAACTATGGGCCTCATGAACAAGCTGAGAGTCACTCTATAAAGAGGAATCAGACATGGATGACTAAGAGACATGGTCGCTAACTATGGGCCTCATGAACAAGCTCAGAGTCACTCTATAAAGAGGAATCAGACGTGGACGACTAAGAGACATGGTCACTAACTATGGGCCTCATGAACAAGCTCAGAGTCACTCTATAAAGAGAAATCAGACATGGACGACTAAGAGACATGGTCGCTAACTATGGGCCTCATGAACAAGCTCAGAGTCACTCTATAAAGAAGAATCAGACGTGGACGACTAAGAGACATTGTCGCTAACTATGGGCCTCATGAACAAGCTCAGAGTCACTCTATAAAGAGGAATCAGACATGGACGACTAAGAGACGTGGTCGCTAACTATGGGCCTCATGAACAAGCTCAGAGTCACTCTATAAAGAAGAATCAGACGTGGATGACTAAGAGACGTGGTCGCTAACTATGGGCCTCATGAACAAGCTCAGAGTCACTCTATAAAGAGGAATCAGACATGGACGACTAAGAGACGTGGTCGCTAACTATGGGCCTCATGAACAAGCTCAGAGTCACTCTATAAAGAGGAATCAGACATGGACGACTAAGAGACGTGGTCGCTAACTATGGGCCTCATGAACAAGCTCAGAGTCACTCTATAAAGAGGAATCAGACGTGGACGACTAAGAGACGTGGTCGCTAACTATGGGCCTCATGAACAAGCTCAGAGTCACTCTATAAAGAAGAATCAGACGTGGACGACTAAGAGACATGGTCGCTAACTATGGGCCTCATGAACAAGCTCAGAGTCACTCAAAGGGCAATGGAGAGGGCTATGCTCGGAGTTACTCTACGCGATCGAATCAGAAATGAAGAGATCCGCAGAAGAACCAAAGTGACCGACATATCCCGAAGAATTGCGACACTGAAGTGGCAATGGGCAGGGCACATAGCTCGTAGGACAGATGGCCGTTGGGGCAATAAAGTCCTCGAGTGGCGACTGCGGACCGGAAGACGCAGCGTGGGAAGGCCTCCAGCAAGGTGTACCAACGATGTGGTCAAGATCATTGGAAGGTATTGGATGCGAGCAGCGCAGGACCGGTCGTGGAGATCTTTGGGGGAGGCCTATGTTCAATAGTGGTCGTCTTCCGGCCTGCGATGATGATGATGGTGATGATAAAGAGGAATCTATGTTGATTGTCGCATGCCTAATCCTTGTTAATGTAAACCTACTTAAAAACATCTATACAAAAGAGAAACACAAAAGTTTCTTGCTCATTCTTCTTGTGATGAGTCTGTGTTCCAAATGAGTGGTAGAATAAAAAAATGGTACTTATTTCTATTTCTATTTATAGAAATACTTAATATGTTTATATATATATGATCTCGATGGTCTAGCTAGATATATATATATATATTTTGTAAATACATCTTAATCTATATATACGAGTACAAATCTTTGTTACTCTTTCACGCAAAAACTAATAGACTCATTTTGATAAAACTTTACAGTAATATAGCTTATGAATCAGAATAACACGGGCTATATTTTATGCTGAAATTAGACAATGGTGAAACAGCGGGCACAACTAGTATATAATGTGCATAGAAAACACCCAGAGCGATACAAACAATCATGAATACAAATATTTGCACCGTGCGAGGAATCGAACCCGTGACATCTAGATAGGTAGAGCTAGATGTCTGTTCAATTCCACATTTATCACTTGGGAGAAATATGAGAGAAAATACCTCCATATCAATCATGGGGAATCAATTCAAGTGTCCCCGAAAATCTCACACGAGTGGATGGGCACGCACCTACCTTTCGGTCTTCATTCGGAGTTACCCGGCTGGAATAAATAAAATATGGGTGTAGTGATTTCGTTGAATTGAATTTACGTCATTGATTTATCCTTTTTTTATTTTTTTTTACCAACGACCCACCACAGTCTCGCACGGTTGCAACTATTGAACTGTGTTTTTAAAATCTCTCTGACGGTCTGTAGTGCAGTGGTTTAGCACAGCGTTGCTGCTGGTTCCATTCCTTGTTCATTTGCGTTCTTGAGTATGATCGTATCTGTCTGGGTGTTTTCCATATATATGACCTATATATTTGCAAAAGAAGAACATCTATATATATAAATAAAATTGGAGTGTCTGTTTGTAATATTGAAATAACCGTTTTTACTAAATGCATATGAATATGAATACGGTACATACACCAAAATAACATTTTTTCCAATTTTTGTCCATCTGCCTATTTAATCTCAGAAACGGCTGGACCAATTTTGACAGGACTTTTATTGACAGGTAGCTGATATAATAAGGAGTAACTTAGGCTATTTTTATTCTACCACTCATTCGGAACGCAGATTCATCACAAGAAGAATAAGCAAGAAACTCGTGTGTTGTTCTTTTAAATAAATGTTATTTTAAGATTTACATTAACAATGATTAGGCATGCTACAATCAACATAGAAACCGCTACGCACTTAATCTCTGTTCAATCAGATAACATTGTCAGCGCTATGAATTTTAAGTTATATATTTTTTAAGACATTTAATTCTTTTTTCTGGCAAATTGAGTATATATGAGAATCTAAATATATATATCTCAAAGGTGAGTGACATAGTGATACATCTATCAACGCACAGCCCAAACCACTGGACCGATCGGGCTGAAATTTGGCATGCAAGTATATGTTATGACGTAGGCATCCGCTAAGAAAGGATTTTGATTAATTCTACCCCCAAAGGGATAAAATAGGGGATGAAAGTTTGTGTGAAACTTTGTCAATTTTAACCGATCGGGCTGAGACTTTACATGCATAAAGCTACTTTGACGTCGGCATCCCCTAAGAAAGGATTTTGATAAATTCCACCCATAAGGAGATAAATGAACGCGACCGAAGCCGCGGGCAAAAGCTATTAAGCATATATATTTAAAATTATGCATTTAAGTACATACATTCAGGTATTTGTTTTAATAAATTTATTAAATAATAATACTTCGATGTTACTGAAATTGCCATATTTAAAAAAGTCTAATTCAGTAGGCACACAGATTATCCTGTTCGCATAGAAATTTATTTACAGAGCCTACTGGCGAAACAGCTATTTCCAAAGTCGTAGAAAACCGTTGAGGGATCAATAAAAACCGTAAGTAGGTAATTTGAATACGGCTTAAGTCAGGAAAAGATAAACTTGCAAAAGATAAATCTCCAAAAAAATGGATTCTATAAAAGCCTTTGATGAGCGTTCATCATTTTAAATTTTTTCTTATTATTTTTACTCGACTGCTGACGAAAGGAGGGTAATGTTCGTGCTAATATGCAGCTGAGCCTTCATTACATAGTATAAAACAAAGTCGCTGTCGCTGTCTGTCCGTCCCTATGTATGCTTAAACCTTTATATCTACGCAACGGATTTTGAAGCTTTTTTTTAGTAGATAGAGCTGTTCAAGAGGAAGGTTTATATATATAATACATGTACACTCGTGCGAAGCAGGGGTGAGTAGCCAATTACATAGTATGAAACAAAGTCGCGGTCGCTTTCTTTCCGTCCCTATGTATGTTTAAATCTCTAAAACTACGCAATAGATTTTGAAGAGGTTTTTTTAAGGAGATAGTCCACCGAGGCGGTCTAATAAGATTTAAATATAATAGTTTTTGTGTCTAATCTATGAATTTCGGTTTGGAACTTCAGATTCACATCATGTCTTGCCTCTACCCAATACGTA